ATAAGAAATACATCTCTAATAGGTTCTTTCCCACAAGCTGCATCCTTAAAGGACCTTAGGTGAGTGACTGTGTTCTCATCTCTGGGTCTTAATCTTAAAATCCATCAGTATGATATCTTTTTACAATATATAGACTACAAAATAGATGTGTTGGGGGAGTGTGCAATTTCCTCGGTTCTGTCTTGTCACAACAAAAAAATTAAGCAATGGACCAGCGTTGCAGCTCTCAGACAGACCATTGTTACAGTTCCATGTTACAGCTCAGTTTTATTTAGAAAATAAAGGAAAATACATCCTTGAGGTGTGAGGGCATGCTGACCCAGAAGACTTAAGAGAAGAGAGGACAAAGAGAGCATGCCAGAGAGTGAGTGAGAGAGCCCTGGTCCTTTGGCTCCTCTTTTTAGGTTTTTCTCCTCCCCCGGGCCTCTCCTATGTAAATTGGGCTAGCTAGGAGTGCTGTTTGTTCTGCCTGAGGTCCTCACTCCAGTCCTTGGACCTTCCTTTGTTCTATTTTTGCAAGCTTTTCCCTTCCTTGTCTTTTAGCCACTGCCGTTCTGGACTCCCCTTTCCTATTCTAACTACCTAACAGATGCATGTGTCGACTAGTGCTTTCTGTTTATGAAAAGCCATTTAAGTACTTTTGGGAAAACAAAGATGACAGGTTCTGTTGTCTAGTGATGGATGACACTTTGGCTCTTGAAGCTGTATACCCTGGAAAAAACGTTAACTACAAGCAGGTTCCTGCATCCTGAGTATTAAAGGAAGAAGCCTGTCTCCTTTCTCTTTCCCAGTCTGAGGTTCTGATTCTGGGAAGGGTATATTCTTGATGAGCTTCAGCAGAAATAAAATTCAGATACTGTTGTAAATCTGCGTTTGGATAAAGAAATAGGATTTTTCAGGTGCATTTTTCTTTGAGAAAGGGTGGACAAGCCACAAAGTGATCAGTTATGTTCTGAAAGTGTACAGAGTAAGCCAGGAAAATGTAGAGACTCAGATGTAAAGTCAATATATTTGGTTTTGTGGGAAAACCCATATTTACTGAGGGTAAAGTTGCAATAGGTGTGAGATTGTTAACAGTCATTTAAAGAGTGCTTGCTAGGTACATGGCACTTTTATTGGCACTGAAAATAAACCTGTGAAGAACAAACATTCCTGCTGTCTTAATTTTGTCTCCTACAAAGCTAAGTGCTTGTTCTAGCAGATATGTGGGAGTATTAAGATATGCAAAAATACTTTCCAATGAGAAGAGGATGTTATGTTGCTGCATCCAGCCAAGGCTAATGAGGGGTTCCTTAGATATTTGTCATGTGATAGAAGTTCTCTTATTGAGATTTCAGTTCTCGGTTCTCCACTCTTTATGAACACTTATTGATCTCAGCTTCATAACTCTTATCTGTTTACAGCAATAAGTTTATATCAGCAGCCAAAATCTGTCTTGAACTCTAGACTCATATCTAAATATATCAACAGGTTTATTTAGATTTCCAGTTAGCTTCTGAAACTTTTCTCAGCTTTTCTCCTCCTTCATGGCCTTCCCCATCTCAGTTGAGAGCAGCTTCTTTTTCCAGTTGTTCAGGCCAAATATCTTGGTATCATCTTTGACTCCTTTTTTCTCATGACCTGCATTTAATCTGTTAAAAAAAATCCCATTGCTTCTTACCATATATGCTGTCACTTTTGTTTTTTAGCCAACATTCTCCTTCCCTGATTACAGACACTGGAGTCTTTTTTCCTTCTGTTTTTACCCTTACTCATTCACGCTATCCTTATTACAGAAGCTGCAGAAAACTTTAAAAATATATTTTTAAAATATATATCAGTTCTCAAAAGTGACAATGAGAGAAATAAGCATTTGCAAAGTTCTGCAAAGGCCTGCAGGACTCTGTGTGGTCTGGCTCTATATATACGTCCTGTATGGCTCTCTCCCACATTCACATCATCTAACCACACTGGCCTTCAGCTGATTCTTAAACATTAGGCATATTCTGCCTTAGGGAATTTGCTTTGACTGTTCCCTTCACTTAGAGTTCTTATCACAAGGGTAGTTCCCTATATTCTCCAACTTGTGATGCCTGTCCCACTTCTTCTCATCCAGCTTTTTGTTCTAGCCTGGTTCTTCTCTGGTCCACTTCATGGGGCTCCTGAAAGACACTCCTCAGCTATTCTTGAGCCTGTGTGAACCTGGGAGTATGAAGAAATCAACACTCTTTGGGTCAACCCTTGACCTGGTGGTAGGGTGGAAATCAGTGGATAAATATATTCATCTTTTGTGTTGGGTAGATGATCCAGAGGTGCCTTCTACATGGTTCTTCATGTGGGGTTGAACACACTTGGTCACAGCATTATCCAACTCAGTTCTGCACTCAGTACTGCACTCACTTTTCCGTTTTACTCTTTTCTATTATTTTCTCTACATAAACCACTTTTCTATTATTTTCTCTACATAAACCACCTTGATGGAATCCCAGTTTCTTTTAAAGAAGCCAGAAACCAATCTCATTTATCTCCTCACGTCAGTTTTTGCATAAATTCCCTTCCTGTTCTATTTAAAATTGCTTACCTCCCCTGTCCTCCAACTTCAGGATTTACTATCCTCATCACCCTGTTTCTTTCACAATAGGGATACCTTCAATCACACTGTGATTTGATTATTATGTTCTTTTATTATCCTACTCATACCTTTAGAAAATTTGTCCTATCAATAGTTATCAGTCTGTTTTGTTCTTGGATTTATCTATAACCTATTCAGTAAAAATATTGTTCTGGAAGTTTACCGAATATATTTACTGAATGTTCTATGAATATAAAATTGGCCACAGTTCAATATTGAGCCCTTAAAGAATTTAATATTTAGAAGTAAGGCAGAAACAGGGGACTGAAATGAGACGATAAGAAGGTAGGAAATGGTAATATCATTGTACTCAAGAGAAGAGAGGATTTTAAAAACAAGAGAGGTAATTCAGATAAAACTTGCCGAGAGGCCAAGTTGCATGAAAGCAGAAAGTTACAAGAGCACCCTCTGCATAGGGGCCATTGGTGGTGAGTGGGAGCAGTTTCAGGGACAGAATGGAAATGAAATGGTTTATTACCAAATGCTATTTCAAACAGTTGAGACTGAAGCATTTCTAGATATTTCCTGTGATGAGCAGCAGAGATTTGAGTTTATAGGAGAATATAAAATCACAGAAGGGAGAATGTTAACCATTTTTTAACAGAAAACTGTAGTTCTATGGAGGAGGAAAAATAAATGGCAAATAAGACTCTGCAAACACTAAAGGATTTTATGCATAATCCCACCTACCCTCACAACAACCTTCTCTAAGTGAGGTGGAGTATTGCAATTCCCCAGTTACAGAGAAGGAAAACAGACCTGGAGATAAGTGATCAGTGCAAGACCACGCAGCTAGTGTAAGTAGCAGTCATGATTTAATTCAAAACCTTGAGATTCTAAATTTTTTCATACCACAGGGAAAGAAACTAGCTTATTTTCAACTTGGATTGCTGAATTTTTTGCATTTAAGGCATTTTAATGGAAGCAATAAAGTCTAGTTATTTAGGACATTGGAATTGGATAAAGCTAGAACTCAGCTACCTAACACTACTATGGTATCTGAAAGATGAAGTTTCCAAAAATTTAATTTTCTATTATTAAAAGAGAGCAAGTTCTTTCAGTACTTACTTTGTCCAGTATTACATTAATGTTATTAACATTATCTTATTATAAATTTAATAAATCTTATTATAAATCTATTATCTTTTTATATATCTATTATCTTATTAATGCTCATAAACTTATTAACTGGACCTAGAAAAGAGTAGCTATGTTGAAACTGAGCCACTCTAAGGATTTGAAAGAAGAGAAAAAAAGGGAAAGATTAGATATTGTTAAGAATAAAGGGCTTTTCTTTAAATGGAAATCAGATATCAGTCTTGCTGAAGATAAGAATTCTCGTGTGATTAAAAAAAAAACATTAAAAAAAAAAAGAATTCTCCTGTGATAAACAGGCTAGAGGATGGGTAGAGGGATAGCTACATGAATATGGAAGTTGATATGAATTTAAGTGAAGGAGAACAGAAAGAGGTGGCTCTTCCCCCCACCCCCCACCCCAATAAGCTAGAGGCAGGGCTGTATTACAGAGATTTGTGAATATGGAAGGGATCTGGGAGATACATTCTAGAACAGTTGTCTCCAGGAGAATTTTCTGCAGTGATGGAAATATTCTGTATCTGAATGGTCCAATATCGTAACCACTAGTTATGTATGCTACTGAGCAGTTAATGTGTTTTAATATGATTGAGGTATTGAGTTTTCAGTTCAGTCACTCAGTCATGTCCAGCTCTTTGCAACCCATGAACTGCAGCACAGCAGGCTTCCCTGTCCATCACCAACTCTTGGAGCTTGCTCAAGATGGACTCATGTCAATCGATTGAGTTTTAATTTTATTTAATTTTTACAAATTGAAATCACCGTGTCTGGCTAGTGGCAACCACATCAGATGTAGCAGTACTAGAAAAAATATACAAGTTGTGTGATTAATAGGAGCATTGGAAATTGTATGCTTTATTTGATTTACCCAGACACCTAAGTCTGAGATTTCTGAACAGAAAATTGGCTTTTATGATTGTGAGTTTAGCTTAATTATCATGTAGAAAGGGTACCAAGGTTTATTTTAAAGAAAATTAATTGGCTTAAATATATTTTTACTTCTTTTTATCAGGGTATTTGATATCACCATGAACACAGAAAACACTAGCTTTTCTCTGTTCTTTTATGAAACTGTTTTGTGATATCCATTTTCATGATGTGTAATGTTCTATCTACTAAATGAGATTGAGTTCCTTCAGGGTAGAAATGTGGGTTATGCTTCTCCATGTCTATGAGGACTAATAACTGATTTTGTTCAAGGTCCAGAAATGGAAATAAGGGCTAATGTTCCCAGGAAGTTATACATAGGAGAAGTTACCTTGTAAAAACTGATGAAGGAGAATTTCCAGGAACCATGGCAGCCTCTAATATTACCTCAACCCATCCAGCTGCCTTCCTGTTGGTAGGAATTCCAGGTTTGGAGCACCTGCATGTCTGGATCTCCATTCCTTTCTGCTTCGCCTATACTTTGGCTCTTCTGGGCAACTGCACCCTTCTCTTCATTATTCAAGCTGATGCAGCCCTCCATGAGCCCATGTACTTGTTTTTGGCCATGCTGGCAGTCATTGATCTTGTCCTTTCTTCTACAACACTTCCCAAAATGCTGGCTATTTTTTGGTTTAGAGATCGAGAAATAAACTTCTATGCTTGTCTTGTCCAGATGTTCTTTCTTCACTCCTTCTCCATCATGGAGTCGGCGGTGCTGCTGGCCATGGCCTTTGACCGCTATGTGGCCATCTGCAAGCCACTGCACTACAGCACCATCCTCACCGGGCCACTTATCACCAAGATTGGCTTGGCTGCTGTGACTCGGGCTGTGACACTCATGACTCCACTCCCCTTTCTGCTCAGACGCTTCCACTATTGCCGAGGTCCAGTGATTGCCCACTGCTACTGTGAGCACATGGCGGTGGTAAGGCTGGCCTGTGGGGACACTCGCTTCAACAACATCTATGGTATTGCTGTGGCCATGTTCATAACAGTGTTGGACCTGCTTTTTGTTATTCTGTCTTATATCTTCATCCTCCAGGCAGTTTTACAGCTTGCCTCTCAGGAGGCCCGCTACAAGGCCTTTGGGACATGTGTGTCCCACGTAGGTGCTATCTTGTCCACCTACACACCTGTGGTCATCTCCTCAGTGATGCACCGTGTGGCTCAGCGGGCTGCCCCGCATGTCCACATACTACTTGCTATCTTTTATCTTCTTTTCCCACCCATGGTCAATCCCATCATCTATGGTGTCAAGACCAAGCAGATTCGTGATCACGTGCTCAGTCTATTCTGGAGAAAGAATGTATAGATATTTTTTTTTCTTAAGCACTAGTCCAGAACCTATCAGTCCAGTGGATACTGAACTGAGGTGGAGAGGAAAAACCTCAACAGGAAAATTTGAGTTTGGTAATTCTCCAGTGTAAGTCGGATTCCTCACAAATCCAGTCAGATCAAACGAGATATGTCCCTATAGTTTCATAGCAGAGGTCTGACCTATTCTTGTAGGCTCATCACATATATAAGGACAACATAAAGACCATTTCAAAGCATTTCTGTCATCTAGGTGAAAGACAGTAGAAATACTGGCTGAGATTGGTACAAGAATCTGAGATTTTTGTCAGCTCTTCATCTACACTGAGGAATTGAACCACAAATTTTAAGATTCAAATGCCAATACCGCAACTAGTTCTACTGAAATTGCCTCCAAATCCTTTCTAATAAGTGGCCTTTAGCCTCTGCCACTCTTTAGCCAACTACCACTCAATGTTATTAGCTCTACAGTTGAACAGCTCCATGTCTGATGAGACTTATTCCTCCCATTGAGTCAGTTTCTGAATTCCTTTCAGACTCATACTAATGGCCAACTTTTTACTTAACCGTTATCAGGCGTCTTCTCCTGACATCCATTTATACAAATATATCATGTAACTAACTCTTCACATATACATCTTTTGTCTCCAAAACCACTAATTGTAATATTTATTGAATGAACAAAGAGTCGAACGAATACCATCTTCAGGCTATGAAATGTAGAAACAATAATTAACGCTATCCCGAAGTAATTAACACCATAATTAACATTCCATCATGAAGACTTCTGAAGCTTAAGAAATGAGTTACAAGTGTGGAGATTTCTTAAAAAGCTGGAAATAGAACTGCCATATGACCCAGCAATCCCACTTCTGGGCATACACACCGAGGAAACCAGATCTGAAAGAGACATGTGCACCCCAATGTTCATCGCAGCACTGTTTATAATAGCCAGGACATGGAAGCAACCTAGATGCCCATCAGCAGACGAATGGATGAGGAAGCTGTGGTACATATACACCATGGAATATTACTCAGCCATTAAAAAGAATTCATTTGAATCAGTTCTAATGAGATGGATGAAACTGGAGCCCATTATACAGAGCGAAGTAAGCCAGAAAGATAAAGACCATTACAGTATACTAACACATATATATGGAATTTAGAAAGATGGTAACAATAACCCTATATGCAAAACAGAAAAAGAGACTCAGATGTATAGAACAGACTTGTGGAGTATGGGAGAAGGCGAGGGTGGGATGTTTCAAGAGAACAGCATCGAAACATGTATATTATCTAGGGTGATACAGATCACCAGCCCAGGTTGGATGCATGAGACAAGTGCTCGGGCCTGGTGCACTGGGGGGAAGACCCAGAGGGATCGGGTAGAGAGGGAGGTGGGAGGGGGGACCGGGATGGGGAATACATGTAAATCCATGGCTAATTCATTTCAATGTATGACAAAAACCACTGCAATGATGTAAAGTAATTAGCCTCCAACTAATAAAAATAAATGGAAAAAAAAATTTAAAAAAAAAAAAAAAGAAATGAGTTACAATATGTAATTGAGGTAGTTTGAATTATTGTTCAGATATTTATTCTCTTGTCCCTCTACCATGGGAGGGGATTTTTCTCACTCCAGGAATGTTAAGTCTTTGCTATGTGATTTTCTGTGGCCAGTGGAATATAGTGGTCTTGCAATGTGCCACAATAATAAAAGATGTTAAAATGTGTCTGTAGCTTGGCTCAGTCACTCTCACTTTTCTCCTCTGCTTACAAGAATGATCATGCTCCCGGAGCTTTTTTTCACCCTAGACTAAGATGGAAAATATACATGAAGCAGATGTGAATCTGACTCACAGACTGGAATACAGCCACAGCTGACCCATAGTGTTCCTATAACATGAGCAAAGATAATTTTGTTGTTGTTGTTGTTTTCCTTTTTAGTAAACCACTTAGATTTGGGAGTTGTTTCATCACATAACCCAGGAAAAAGCTGACTGATGGAGTTGTGAGCTCTTTGTTGCATTCCAACTCATGACAGTTCAAGACTAAATATTTAAAGAAAAGAAATTGCATTATTTCTTCTATTATATCCTAAAATTGATACCACTTCCATTTATCTTTCTGCTTTGGTTTCTTATACTTGGACACTCCTTCAGTTAGTACTTTGTAAAAGAATCTCATGCCCAGTTTTCATGAAAGTGTCTTATACAACCATGTTCTTTTTTATTTTGTGATCTTTTTCTTCAGTAATAAGTTTCTTCAATTCTAAAAACAAAAAAACCTGATTAGTCTCTGAAAGAGCACTTCCAGGCCCTTGTCGTGTCACAGCTTGCATCGTAGGCACACACGAAGAATGATGGTCTCAAGGATCTGAGCCAGCTACCCTGGCACAGTTTGATTACACTAGACTGCTTCCATCATGCAAGTGTTGGCAGAGGGGGGCAGTCAGTGTTTTGTTCTTATTGGAATAGATATTCAGGATATGGTTTTTCCTTCCCTTTATGCAATGCTTTTTCCAAACTTGTGTGAAAGTTGCTCATTCGTGTTCAACTCCTTACGACCCCATGGACTGCAGCCTACCAAAGTCCTCTCCCCATGGAATTCTTCAGGCCAGAATACTGGAGTGAGTAACCATTTCCTTCTCCAAGGGCTTCCCAACCCAGGGATTGAACACAGGTCTCCTGAATTGCGAGCGGATTCTTTAGCAGCTAAGATATCAGGAAGGCCTTTTCTAAACTTATCTATGGATTTATAGAATGACTTATCCACCATTAGGGTATTGCATTGCTTCTGGTAAGAATTCAGTTCATAGATGACATAATGATCCCATGTTCATGGAATTCACTAATGTTAATCATGTTTCCCATCACCCTGAAGCAGCTAGATTTATAGAACAGTGGCATGGCCTTTTGAAGACAGATACAATACCAACTAGGTAGCAATACCTTGCAGGGCTTCAGAAGGTTCTCCAAAAGGCTGCATATGCTCTGAGTCAGCATCTGATATATAGTATTAATACTATTTTTTCCCCATAGTCAGGATTCACAGGTCTAGGAATTAAGGGGGAAAGTGGGAGTGACACTATTTCCCCTAATGAACTATTAGCAAAATTTTTGCTCTTTCCACAATCTTAGGACTTGTTGACCTAGAAGTCTTCGGAAATGATGCTTCTACTAGGACACACAATGATTCCATTGAACTGAAATTTAAGACCACCACCTGGTCACTTTGAACTCACATCTGAATCAAAAGGCAAAGTAGGGAATTACTGTGTGAACTGGAGTGACTGATCATTACTACCAAGGAGTAAATGGTCCATTACTCTACAATGCAAGTAAGGAAGAATTTATCTGGATATGCAAGAGATTCCTTAGGGTGTCTCTTGGTATTACCATGCCCCGTGATTAAGGTCACGGGAAAACTCGCCAAATCGCTTCAGTCATGTCCAACTCTTTGCAACCCCTGGACTGTCGGCACCCAGGCTCCTCTGGCCATGGAATTCTCCTGGCAAGAATACTGGGGTGGGTAGCCATGCCCTCCCCTCCTGGGGAATTTTCCCAACCCAGGGATCCCAACCCATGTCTCCTGTGGCTCCTGCATTACAGGCAGATTCTTTATCACTGAGCCACTGGGGAAGCCCCCCCAATAGAAATCAGTAATAACTCAATTCATGCAGGACTACTAATGGACCATATTCTATAGTAATAAAGTTTGATTATTCTGCGAAGTAAAGAACCATGAAAAGCTGAGGTACATGCTGAAGGCAGTTAATATGGAATGAATAGTGGAAAACGGTAGTTAGAAATACCAGCTATAAGCACACCATGATGCTAATCAATTTAGGGGAAGGGCCAAAGAATCAACACTTTTGAACTGTAGTGCTAGAGAAGACTTTTGAGAGTCCCTTGGACTGCAAGGAGACCCAAACAGTGAATCCTAAACGAAATCAGCCCTGAATATTCATTGGAAGGACTGGTGCTGAAGCTCCAATACTTTGGCCACCTGATGGGAAGAATCAACTTATTGGAAAAGACCCTGATTCTGGGAAAGGTTGAAGGCAGGAGGAGAAGCGGGTGGCAAAAATTGAGGTGCACCACCAACTCAATGGACATGAATTAGAGCAAACTCTGGAAGATAGTGGAGGACAGAGGATCCTGGCAGGCTACAATCCATGGGATCACAAAGAGTAGGACGCAACTAAGTGACCAAACAACAACAGAACAAAGGAACTACTGAAACAGAAGGTATGGTGTCAAAGAACTTTTACTTTGTGGATCAGTACCAGCTTACTGAAGAATCTTTACTGAAATGCACTGTGAGAATAACCAGTTTGGGGTATGTGCTTTTGGATATGAGTGCTACAGAGTGGAAGCACATATGTGTGTTGGTAACACACACGCTAAGTCACTTCATTTGTGTCCGACTCTGAAAGAACCTATGGCCTGCAGCCCACCAGGCTCCTCTGTCCATGGGATTTCTTCAGGCAAGAATACTGGAGTGGGTTGCCATACTCTCCCTCCAGGGGATATTCCCGACCCAGAAATCGAACCCGTGTCTCCTGCTTCCCCGGCATCACAGGTGGATTCTTCACTGCTGAGCCACCAGGGAAGCCCCTTGTGTAACTTTACTACAAAATTAAGTTTGAGAAACCTTATC